CGCTATTTTATACGCTTGTCCTCGTAACTAAGACTGCGGTACATGATTTAGGAGGAGGACAAGGGTGGATAGAATCAATATAGGTCTATTTAGTATAAAACGGAGGTTTTTCCGTGGGAAAAGGGGTCGTGTAAATTGCAATACGTGATGCTGCCGTCGTTTTTCGAGTATATCGAAAATTCGATATCTACTCGACATACAACCGCCGGACAAAAACGCTATCCACTCGATATACGTATATCGAAAAAACGCTATCTACCCGCTATAGAGGCGATATACTCTTGCTACTAGGGGTGTCCAGTGCCGTGTGTGTCCCCATACACGATAAATCTGCTCTCCTTCCCTTTCCCCTCCTCCCGCTCTAGTCCCAACTCTGTTTTCTTCGCCCAAGGTCGAGAAGTCGTACGGGAAGAGCGACATGCGATCACGTAGGCGGCTTAGGCCAATCAGGTTCCTCTGTCATTGAACCAGTCCGTGACCCACCGTGGAGATCGGCAGCCATCTGGGACGACTAAGCAGCCCTATCTAGGGACAACACTGCTTGTACACTCGTGGGCGTAGGGGCTATAAAAAGTGCTTTAAACAAATGCTGCTTCCGCGGCATCTGCTCGCAGACTGTAATACATGCGGCCCGAACAAAAACAACTGGGAGGATTGGATGACGGCTACATCTTCAGGAGCGAGCACTCAAAGGCAGAGCAACGAAATGCGGGCGTCGTCTTTGGCATTCAAAACGAAATCGTGAGGCGACTGCCCTGTCTGCCGCAGACCATTAACGACCGACTCCCGAGTCTGCCCATGCCTCTTCGGGGACCCAATTTAGCCACCATAATCAGCACTTACGCCAAACCAATGACCGGCACTGACGAGGAGAAGATCAAGTTCTACGAAGAGTCGCACGTCCTTCTGGAGTCTCTGTCGAAGGTGGTCAGGCTGATTGTTCTTGGTGACTTCACTGTTCTCGTCGAGGCAGACTGGGCTCACTCACGAAATCGCCGACTGGAACGAGAATGGCCTCCTCCTGCGAACCTCTGTTGAAAACTGCCTCCTGCTGACCAACGCCTTCTTCCGCCTGTCGATGCTGAAGGCACCCCAGATGGTGACTCTGGCAGCTGTTGGAATGCGTTCTGCTTCGGAGGCCAGATCGGCGGGACATGCTGGTGACCAGAACGATCTGCGTTACCGATGGCTGGACCGACCACAGCCTCGTCGTCTCCAAGATGAGGCTGTGTCTGCAATCCTTCAGGGGGCCACCAGGTAAGTCAAATACCGCTTTGTTGTTTTGCCCATTCACAGTTTGCATCTCAACAGTCAACTGACCTATCGGATGGAAGACTGATGGCGGCCCACGCCTCCTTAGTCCCCGTCATTTTGTCGTGATGCCGTCCTGTCCGCTTCAGGCTCGCTGCCAATTCGTTACCGGAACAGCGCGAGGGTTGTAACTAGCCTCGCGAGAGCTCGAAGCAAATCAGCACTGCCTCTTCCTTGATTGGTCGGCAGGCGCACACACGCTGGGGCCCAATGCTCTCAACGGCGGACACAAAAGACACAACTAGCCGGTAGAGCAAGCTTGCGGCAACTGCTTACTGAGGCTCTTATACGCTCTTAAAGGTCAATAAAGTTTCACAATCCAATCTATCTTCCTTGATTTCTGATCTGGGTTTCTTTGTGTTATCAACCATACCACCTCCCAACAGACCTGCCAGCTCCAGATGAAAACGCCTCCATGGAGATTCGATGGTGCCAATGCTCTCAACGGCGGACACAAAAGACACAACTAGCCGGTAGAGCAAGCTTGCGGCAACTGCTTACTGAGGCTCTTATACGCTCTTAAAGGTCAATAAAGTTTCACAATCCAATCTGTCTTCCTTGATTTCTGATCTGGGGTTCTTTGTGTTATCAACCATACCACCTCCCAACAGACCTGCCAGCTCCAGATGAAAACGCCTCCATGGAGATTCGATGGTGCAAACTACAGGAAGCTTTCCATTACACTGTCCTGGGTGTCCTCGATCTCGCACGTCGTCGGCACCAAGACTGGTTAGACGACAACGGCGCAATGATCAACAATCTGCTCACCAAAAATATAAGGCCGCACTGAGCCTACCTCTGCCTTCCAACTGATGCGAACGAAGCTGCTTCCTACCAATTTCGCCGCCTTGCTCAACCACATTTAGGAGAAATACAGGACGCTTGGATGACTCGCAAGGCTGAGGAAATCCAACGATTTACCGACCGAAACGGATCCAAGATCTTTTTTACTGTGATCAAGGCGATCTACGGATTCCTACCAAGAGAACAGCGCCACTTTTCAGCTCCGATGGATCAATGCTTTTGACGGGAAGGTCGCAAGTTCTGAAGCTTTGGGCCGGGCACTTTAAAAGCGTCCTCATCCATCCCTCCGCAATCTCCGACACCGCCATCAACCGCGTGACTCAAGTCGAGCTGGATTCCCCCTCTCTCCCAGAAATCATCCGCAGCGTGCAAACAATCTCCAGTTGGAAGGCATCGGTCGCCAATGTAATCTCGGCTGCCAGCTGCAGGAGAAGTGCTAGAAGATGCTAACCCACCTCCACGCTATCTTCGTGGAGTTCACGAAGGCCTTCGACACGGTGAATCGTAAGGGACTGTGGAAAATCCTGCATAAACAATTCATGCACATGATATGTCAGCTACACGACGGGATGATGTCACGCGTCACGTACAATGGAGCAATCTTCGAGGCATTCGCAGTGGCCAGTGGAGTGAAATAGAGCTGTGTTATCGCGTCTGCCCGCTTCAGCCTCATGTTCTCTGCCATGCTGATGGACGCCTACCGTGATGCCCGCCCGGGACGTACATCGTCTACAGAACTGATGGGCATCTTCTCAACAGCAGGTGTATGTAGGCCCCCACGCGACTACCTATGAATACAGTCCACGACCTGATCTTCGCCAACAATCGCGCGCTCGACATTAAGACATGAAATGGCATGGAATCACCACGGTCTGCAAGTGAACACCAGGCCGAAGGTATGCAAGACTGTCGTCTTGAAGACACTTCCATAGGGAGCGGGGATCTGGACCGTCTACTGTAGTTATGCCAAGAAGATCAACCACTTCCACGCTAGCTGCCTTCGCCGAATACTAAAGTTGAGATGGCAAGACAGGGTCCCTGACACGGAAGTCCTAAAATGGGTCCGAAGTCTCTACATCCATGCCATTCTAAGACAACACAAATAAATGGTAGCAGCAATCACTTCAGGAAGGGAAATACCTGTCCACCAAAACAAATCTTCTATGGCGATATCGCCACAAGTACTCGTCGACAGGGGGAGGGACAAAAACCGCGCTATAAGCACATTTTGAAGATCTATCTGAAACGACTTCAAGTGAGACCAAAAACCTGGGAGGATATCGCCCAGAACATGGCGAAGAGAAAAAAGGGCCGGCGCAGCCATCTACGAAGGAAATCGGACCGCCCCCTCAAAACCAAAAAAGGGGATTTTCAAGTCACAAGTGCCTTGACTCTTCAATGCCAACAGTCAGCCGCTTCCAACGTGTCCGTGCGGCTAACAAACGCTCTGCGCGCGAATCGGTCTCGTTGGACACCTTCGGACGCAAGCCACCAACAATTCGACAGCGCAAAATTCTTCTTTCACTCCCACCCCTGTCGCTGCCCGTCATTCACCGACATCATCCGCTCTTTCCCAACCCCTGCATCGAACACAGCGAACAACTCCGTCACCACCACGATATCTCGCACTCCCCAGACCGAGCGGATGATATTCGACTTCCCATCGCCTGCTACCATCACCTCCAGCACCCCCACCTCCAGCGATGCGGACTCGATCCAAACCTGTCATCATTGTGGTCGCACATGCACCTCATATATCCGCCTGGCCAATCACTTGCGGGTGCAGAGTACAGAGACGGTCGAACCAGTGCATAAAGCACCCTCATACACTCGACGCACCCACCCCAACTGCTTTCACCACCCTCGCGCACCCGTGCACTTATCAAGCCACAGTGCAGTCATGGAAACCTGCGGTAGACGGTTGGTGACTGTACCATACCATCATAACTTGCATCACACATCAGCATCACCACCCAACGCAAGCACTCAATTGACACCTTTCACGCAAGTGGGAAGTGTGATCTACGGCTCAGTCTCCATGCGTCTCCTCTGCTGCATGTGTGATCCGAGTCTGAGACTAGCACGATGGTCCAAGTGCCGTGGCCTGGAAGACTGCTGACTGACGCCTCCACTCAATCCACGCAGTCAGGCCAGTTGTGTGTGTGATGGTGTGGGGTAGCGAACTGCTGGGTTGAGTGTCAGGCTGTCAACGCCCTTTCTTCATGTGACCTCTGACGATTTTACGCACGTAAAGACTACAGTGAGTGACCGATATCATGAAATATTGGCTGACATTCTGAAATGCGTTCTCGAACAGGAAGGATTGCGTGGGCGTGGTTGTAATACGTATTATCTTGCGACATAATCTTATAACATTTCGGACTTGGCAGGATGTTGGCTTTTGAATAGGCTGCATTTCAATTTCCTGTGGAAACCGTACTCGGTTAAAAATGACTACTTATGTAGCATGCATTTTTCTCACTGATTTTCGATGGTCTTGCAAATTTGAGTATATCTTATATAAAATATAGACAAAAACACGCCTTCGTTTAGTGAATTAATAGAGAATAACGTCTTCTTTATATTTTATACTCAAGGAAGGAGTGTAATTAGGTTTTAAAAAAGTTTTCTAATTGTTGAATAATTTGGAGCCTGATCATTCGTTGCATTAGCGCTTAGGGATTTTAGTCAACAAGTTGCATGCGTTCCACGCAAGGAAGGTCACATATTTTTCTATCCCATTAGAAAGATATCATATAGAGTCCATGAATTTTTTCAACCGATGCGGACTAGGTTGAACATTTCATGAGGAGCTACGGTAAACGTCTAGGTACGATGCTATATGAATGGACATTTCGCGGACTTAATCCCATAGTTTGAAACTTTTAAAACCTTATAACACTTCTTCCTTAAGCATAAAATACAAAGAAGACGTGATTCTCTATTAATTCACTGAAACAAAGCATAATTTTGTTTATAATTTTCATAGGATATATTTGAATTTGCAAGACCATCGAAAATCAATGGGAAAAGGCATGCTACATAAGTGTTCATTTTTAACCGAGTACAGTTTCCAAAGGAGATTGAAATGCAGTCAGCTCAAAAGCCGACATCCAGCCGAGTCGGAAATGTTATAAGATTAAGTCGGAAGATAATAAGTATTACCACCGCGCCCAAGTTATCCTCCCTAGTCGAAAACGCATTTCAGGATTTTAGCCAGCATTTCATGAGATCGGTCACTCAGTGTACTCGTCAAAATAAGGCACTCCTGCAAATTGCTGGGAATATTAAACGGGATAGCGGCCAGAGTTGGTGACGATGTTTATGGCCCGGTAGTCGGCGCAACGAGGCTGCCAAGCAGGCACCACCAGGCACCGCCTCTTCTCCACATATCTTACTGGGTGATACACATCCATCCGGAGACTTACTGGGCCACGCCACCTTATCTTTCGTGCATAAACAATCGTAGTTATTGACACCACAACAGGGCTTCCAGCAAACAAATTCTCCTAAACTCTACCACATAAAACAACTGATCAATTGGTCTGCATGCCGATACAATGCGAATTTCATAAAGTTCGTCTAAGGTCATTCCCAGAGAAGGAAATGTCTACAACATACAGAAAAAAATTAAGTATACACTGCTAGCAAACACAATAATTTGAAGTGTGTTTGAAAGAAATAAGTGGCGGAAAAAATGCCAAAACAACGTGCTTCAGATAAAAAAACCTACGCATGATTTTCGGCCACCGCAAGCAGGGTTTCCAGAGAACAGTGAACAAGTGCTAACATACTTTCTATGTCTGGGGGAATTTCGTCAATATTATATCAACACCTACACCCAGTAATACCAGGTCGTGAACTACACACTCTATGTGAGTGGGAGATATTACGGACGAGTTATTTCCGATTACTGCGAAACCTAGATATAATGAATCATTGAACGCAAGTTCACGTGTGCTCATCCCACTCGCATGAGAAATAAGCGTGTTTCTGCTTCGTGTCAGCATGACCTTGAAACACCACGCAGTTGTACATGCCTTCCATAAAGTGCCCCTAGAAAACTGGATAAATAGCCAAATGCACTCACCGATTTACAGCGATCAGCAAAAGGGAGCAACAGGTGTTGAACAACTCAGCATCCCCAGTAAGCATTCAGGAACATCCTCGCTAAGTGTCTAACAGTGTAGGATGTGTGGGAGGCATTTAAATTACTCTTTCTATGTTTGCTTCCATTTATTTCTAAAGCCGGTCTTGACTAATATGTCGTGGTGTAACAGGCTGACCCATAAATGCAAGCTTCTCTATTCAAAAGGCTATTTTCTATTGTCGCGTAAATTTCAGGCGAACATGAACAACCGTGAGAGCAGCAGTTTGCCGCCAAAACAGAGGATTGTATGCACCCCTAAAATGTGCATCAGTTGTGAAATTATCAATGCCCTTCTCTTTATCTGCGCAATCGTTTCTATCGCCGTGGGAACTTACAATCTGCGTGTGCTGAACATGAACTCCAGAGACTGTTCCAGTGGAGATCGAAAAGTCTGTGAAGACAAAAGGTGGTCATGTTGGAAGACTTAGTCATGCAAATCATGATGTTTACGGCTGTCCTAGTGAGCTTATTACTTCGAGGCAAAATTCGTTGATGTGATGATTTTGGCGATGATTGAAGCGTTTGAGCCGATTGTTTCAGATGACCTGCATTGCATAATTCCCATTTTATCATTCCTTTGCAGTTATTCATACGCAGAAGCCTATGCCATGATAGCTATCGGATGTATCCTGCTCGTCTTCTGTGTTACCCTCATTACTGTCATGCTAGTCCTCGCCAGGGAGACCTCAAAATATGTACGACGACTGTCCAACCAACCCCCGGTAAGACGTGCATCTTCTTGCAGCATGACTGCTTTTGTTAACCTCTGCCAACTGAATATTTGCCTATCGATAGTACACGAATGACACTGTTGTCAGTCGCACTTGGTAGGTAATAAGAATTCGAACCACTATCTAAGTATTATTGAAGGATTCCTTTAAAACTTGCTGTTCACCTGCCAATGCCCCAGAGATCTCTGCTGTCTCCGTCTAAAAGCATAGTTTTGCTAAATTGTACACTAAAAGGGCATGTAATCGCTCGTCAGAATTCATGCCTCAAGGCCTGGCCAACCCTGTCACAAAAAAGAGCGCCTGCTAAGCATGAAGTAGAAAATCTGGCCTATTTTTACCTAGAAAGCCATTGAATGCATTCTTTGAATATCTTGCACGTATGCTCACACCCTACTTTCGGTTAACTGTCCTCCTTGCCTTCGACGAGACTTACGGTGAAGTTTTCCACTCTACGACTACTTGGGAGGCAAGTGTGGACGACGTTTGGTCCGTATGATGTACGATTGGCGGTCAGAATTATCGCAAGCACATCGCATTTACCTATTCACTGCAATATGCACAGACGTCGGTGTCCTAAATACGAACTTACCCTTTGAATAATTTCATGCGTTTACTGTTACTTTGTCAAGTTTGCTGATGTTATATTACATGACACATTACTTCAGCTTCTTTTTTACCAAGTCCACAGTGTTTGGCTAATTTCTGCATTTATAGTCTATGAAATGAATCAGCAGCTACCAGATCTAAACGGGTAAGAATGTGAGTCGAGCACCTAAAAGATTCTGTTGGTCTCACAATGCCAATAAAGAGGCCAAACTATATCCATCAGTTTCGGCAGAATATCTTCCTGAAGGCAATCAAAATCTAAAGAAGTCTCACCGACATGCGCTTTTATAGTGCACGTAGAAGTTGCGAAATTATTCATAATTTGAAGAAGGAGAAGATAGGCTCTCCGGAACAGGTTTA